TTATGCAAATTTGGTAACATAGGCATAAAATGTTCATTATTGGTGAACATTTTGAGGTACTTTTCATTTAAATATTCAAATGTTTAATATTTTTATTTTAAATACCAAATCGTTGGTTTGAAAAGAATGTCCCTTTATATTAAAATGAATAATTATAAGAAACAAATTTAATGCTAAAAATATTTTATTAAACTCAAAATTGATCAATATTAAATTTATACAAAATAATTTTGTGCGCGCATAATTAATTTGCAGACGTGTTGGTCTAGTTTCAAAAAATTAAATGACCAAGCACACATCTTCGCCAACCTCTTTATGTTGTTCGCAAGCTTCAACAGGGCAATTTGCGATTAGGATAGGATGACCATGCTTCATTCTGCAATCGTAGAGGGCGTTGTCGACGCACCCTATCCCAGTGAGGTAGGGCTCGGATCTGGGCACCGGGATCTCGCGCCGTGCACCGCACATACGGCCTAACTCTGTCCCGCACTTACAATCTTGGTAATTTGTAAATAGAAAATTAATTAACGTCCGTTTTTAAGTAAAGTAGCATTCATGTTTTACTGCACACTACGCTACTACAAAACATTAATGTTTAAATTTAAATATTTAAAAATTTATATTTATACCAGGAGCTTATTACTATTAAAATAGAGTTATTTAAGTTATTTTAAACAAAATGCAGATTTATTTTATGATAATATAGTATATGTATAATTTATGTCATGTTTTAGTATAATAAGAATAAGTTAGTATGTAAAAATTTTGAAACACATTAATTTGCATTTAACATTATTTAATATATAAGAAATTTATAATTTATTTTAAAATGAACTTACTGATAACTTGGGCATCAGCGTAATGTAGGTAGACTGCGATCACAAAAATTACGGCCACGTATACTTTAACCATAGTTAGTTTATAATAAACTGAATTAATCTATTTGAATTCAAAGTAACAGTTTTTTTCCTATGAAGTTATTATAGTGAATGCACATTCTTATATACTATTTTTTAAATTAATTTTTGAGATAATTTTTAAAGTAAACAATTACAGAATTTTGAATGTTATTATGAAATACAGTGAAATTATTATTTTTCAAGAGTGTGTTAATTTTGATTAAGAACTCTGTTATTTGATTTAGCTTAGTAAAATTGCTAGATATATGAAATTATCACGTCAATTTTGTTATGTCAATTAATGTATTTTTGTTTACTCAGTCTAGACATAAAAAGTTAGATAAATATAGTAGTAGGAGCTTTTTTTAGATAATTAGTATTAAGGTATTTCACATAAATAACATTTAATCAACCTTGTTCGCAAATAACAATTGATTAGTACTTGAAAACTGTTTGTTGAAATTGATTATGGTGCAAAATTGAAGTTATGGTGAGATTATGGTTACGAAATGAAATTGATAAATTTTTGAAGATCATTTAATTACCTGTATATTATATTTGTCTCAATTCCTTACATAATTGTACGTATATTACTACAGTAATACAGATAATCTTGCGCATATTAATTAGACTATCTAAATTTTGATCATGTATTCTTACTAATTTATTTAGCTACATAGAATAAATATAAGCTCTAGAAAACTTACCTTAAATTATATAGTGAGTTATTAATAATTTTCTACATAGATATCAAAATTAACATTTAAAAAATATTTTCGTAGATATATAAAAATATCTGAGAAAATAATGCCAATAGTGTATCAGAAATAATCTTTAATCTTAATCTTTCATAGAAGTAATATTAAAAGATTAAGATTAAAGTTTTTTCAGATACATTATTGGCATTATCTTCTCAGATATATTCAGTATTTCAATCTGTTTGTATGTAATTGTGGTTTAAATAGTGATAAACCAATTGAGTGGAGATGACTGTCAGCACCCCTTACACGCCATTCACGGGGTATGGGTAGTGTGACCAGATATTTTTTCAATATTTTGTTTAAAACTGAACAATTGTATGAAAAGAGACAATATTAGAATTAATCCAAGTTTTAAAACTGGACAATACTATCCATACATTGTAATATATCAATTACAAAACTGGACACTATGTGCAAAAACTGGACGATCCAGCCCAAAGCTGGACGTCTGGTCACACTAGGTATGGGTCTATATATTAATTAATTTTAAAATTAATAAAACACTTAAAAATGAAATTTTGTTTGGATATTTTGTATTTGCTAATTAAAAGATTTACATAACTATTTTAATAAGAGTTTTTTATTTTTTATTTAAATTTTAATGATTAAGCATGTATATTAAAAATGATTGAATAATCTATACAGTAGTTTACATAAATATACATTATATTTACCAGGGCCCAGTGCGTTAGCTATATTGAAATAAAATACAAGTAAAAAACATAATGTTACATATATTTTAATTTACATTAACAATCATTATATTATTAAGTATATAAAAATTAAATTTAATGTTTTTATTAAATTTGTAAAGATAAACTTACTTGCTTATATAGTATTTGTAGTTTTATAATACATGTATATTTTTGAGATTTATTTTACTTATTCCAATAATACTATTATTGGAGTATAATATTGATAAATTAAATAACTATAAAGCTCAATTGGTAAAGTAATGAAATTATTTATTATATGAAAATATATTCATTGGATATTAAAATTTATTTTGCAAAAATTTAAATTCATAATTGTTATGTAAATTCCTAATAATATTAGGTGAAACAGAAAGTCCGTGGAACAATTCATTTTAATATATCTCCCAAAGTACAAATGACAGAGAATATTGCTATATATCATTAATTGACATATTTACCCCTGCTAAGGGTAATAGCCCTCCAGCGGTCGGGTAGCATCGTTACCCCCTTCGAATCTTTCTTTTTGTTAACCTCCCGAATTACAGCTTCATAGTCGTGGATGAGTTCATCTCTTGTTTGGAACTCCTTTCCCTTGAGTGGAGCTTTTATATGATGAATACCATGCATGTCCGGGGTGACATATCAGGGCTATAGGGCCCCCCCTGATAGGGTGATCTAATTCCTCCCATCTTTTTTCCTCCAAAAACTCCCTTACAATGCGATGTTTGTGTGGTCTAGCATTATCATGTAAGATGATAGGACGCCCAAATTTCTTTCGTGTAACTTCCGGAAGTAAACGATGTTCCAGAAAGTTAAGAT